TAGATTATAATTCAAATTTAGTATTATATATTATTCAATTTCTTAATTTAAAAGTAAATATTAGAAAACACAGAAATAGATTTTTTATGTGTCACATGGTATGTTCAATGCAGCATTGGTGAATAACATGTGAATAACCAATCAAAAGCTCAGAATGTCCCACTAGTAACTTTCTCAGCCATTTTAAAGTGTTAGTACGCCATCTCATTCTTTTGAACCAAGATTTCAAGGTGGTAGGTAGTGCCTTTAGTCTGACCAAAATTTCATATTTTTTAGACTTACTTACTAAGCTTCAAATACCATAGAATTCCACTATAATTTAGATATTGTAATTTATGATTTTTTGGTTATTCAACTGTATATATAAAACCTAAAAAAAATAAATTTGTTTCATATCCTCCTCGTGCAAAATTTTATTAGGCTTAGCAACCTACATCAAGCAGCAACTGAGTACAAAGGTCATAACTAGAAGAGATAATTTTTAAGAAAAATATGTTTAAGAACTTGTTTCTAAATAGCAATAATCTATATACATATATAATGTATAATAACTGAAATGTGACTGTATTTTACAAAATACTAGTCTACTAAAACACAGCCAAGACAGGTCACTTTGTAAAGACTAAAGGTCAATTTTATATTATTGATACGGTAGTATGAGTGCACGTGCGCCGTGTCATTGTAATTTCTGTATTGTTAGCCAGGCATGGCTGAAAGGTCAATATAATGAAAACAATAAACTTAAAACAAGACCCAAAACTCGAGCACTTTCGAATAGTTGACTGTTCTTCTTTATTACACTTTATATGTGATCCTTTGTGCTAACTCTTTTATCAAGATGAAAATAATAAATATATATATACAGATGTATAATGTTATGAGATTTAAGCTATTTAGTTGAAACATTTATATTTTTGTGTTATAATTTGTAATCATCCTAGAACGAAAAAGGCATAATGTATATTTATTTCCTAATTTTTTAATGTGGTTATGAGATCAGTCAAATGGACCAAACCCATACAGGGATTCGTTACTGAAAATAACAGATAAAATATATAGATTTTTTATTAAGAAACATTTGATAACTATCTGGACATTATAAAGATTTCACATGTGAAATTTGAAAATTTTCTGAACCACAAATGTATTTTTATCTTAAAATGAAAATTACTTTGCATGTTTGATAGGCAACACGCGAAAAGAATAAAATAGGCATGAGATAAACATTGCTTTATAAACCTCAAAACTGAATAATAAAAAAATTTTGCATATGAAAGCATTGTAATGTTGGCTGATAATCTGCCAAATTTCATTAACACACGCTTACTAATTTAAAAGTTACAGCATGAAAACTATAACAAGCACAAAATGGTTATGAGGTTGGTCTCAGAGACCGAGCCTGTGCTAAAAGAGTTAAATGTATATTGAATGTTTATGTATAGATAATTATTTATTGCTTTGGTAGGGGAACTGCTTTTTGTGTACCTACTTTAGACTGCATTTACTAGTATCATTTAACTAACAAAGTTTTAATTTACAAAGCAGTGTTTATAGATTATTAATAATGTTAAAAATGCTAATTTTTTCACATAAGCATTACTAAATACTTTGCCAGTAAATGTCATGTGTCTGAGTATAATAGCAGGCAGTATGATGCTAGTCAATTTTTTCTGATGTAATGTAACATATCAATATTCAAGCTGGGATTTGGAAGGAAAGCATCAGTCACAGGTTAAGACAATGGAATGTCAAAATGTAATAAATAAGATGACCGTGTGGGGTTTTACCCCTGCAGACTACATAACTCGCATCTTAACTGTGCTCAACCGTTTAGCAACTTCCTGTTAAAAGAATGTATAGAGTGAATGGGCTTTCAGCATCTTACTAGATTTGAATCCTGTTGAACATGTGTTAATTACTGTGGGGACATGGATAACAGTGGTAAACATTTGATATCAAATCATATAACATTTGTTTTTCATAAAAATGAACTTAGTGGTGCTATAGACATAATTTGTAACAGTAATTGTGCTTTGGAATAGTGAGAATTTAGACAATGTGAATTATCCAATAATTATTTTGAGCAATGTATTCAATACAAATGCAAAAAAAAGTAGCTTTTTTGGTTGGGAAAAATTGAATTTTGAGAATGTACAGACAGATGAGCTTGAAGCATAATTTCTTTTGGATTAGGAGTCAATATATTTAAAACTAAGGATGAACAAGATGTATAAATATATGTACAGTTATGCAACATTTACTTGTGTGTGTTTGTATGTATGTTATTGGAAATTTAAACATTTATCAAATAATATTTATGTTTTTCTTATTTGTACGTCCCTTTTATTTTTGTTATTATAACAGACTGTTAACTAAGGAAGATGAGGTGACATATTTAAAGCAGTGTTTGGAAGAAATGGAAGCAACACTAAATAAGGTTCAGCAACAAAAGTAAGTAACACACAATGCTTCAACTTGAAATCTTATATATACACGTATATGCTAAAATGTATGTAATAAGTATTGTATACTATTTGTTTTACACCTCATTTCTGCATATTTCAAATTTAACAAAGTAAAAGTGCTCTCATGTATTAATAATAGCATGAGTGTGCACAAGCGGGCAAGTAGGGGCATGCTCCCTACTGACTGTGTATATGGACTCAATCATTTTAGTGAGTGTAATGATGTATATGTGTGTGAGTTTATATGGTTTAGATATGTATGTGTATATATATCTATATATTGTGTGTGTTCAACATGCCTACCCTCCTACTAATAGTGGTAAAAATTAACTTCCTGTGCATGGCCTGAATAACAGTTACAAATGTTTTCATGTGAAGTGCTCTTTAAGTTACAAAATGGTGATTTTGTGCATGTGGTTTTTGGTGAAAAAATTATTTAAGATGCTTCGAGTTTTCTGTATTCTGTATATGACAATGCACAACCATTGTTGTTAAGTAATTATATAGAGATGTAAATACTTGTAAAACAGAGATATAAAGTGTTACAGAAGTAGTTAATGTAGTTTTGTAAGACACGTGTACACTATTTGTTTTCAGTATTTATTTAATAATGTGTAATATTGTTTCGTAAGGTGTAACAGTTCCTTTTTTGGCTTTTTTATGAGTGATATAATTGTCATAATTTCCATTAATATTTAGTAACTTGTATATTACGTATTATATATTTAGTAATGTTTTAAACATCACTACTCACTGTTATAAATTTTAACAAATTTATTTAAACCAAGAAAAATTTATTAGGATTTAGTTCATCAGTGCTTTAATGATTTTTATGTATATAAATAAATATTTAAAAACTTTTTTTTTTACATTTAAAAAAAGCATTGATGTCTAGCTATATCACTTGCTCTATACTGAATATGGATAAGTCAGTTTTTGCTAATATTGTTAGTTTGGAAATTTCATTTTATTGGACATATATTTTTTACCAGTTTTATCTATTTAGATTGACAAGTTTTGTTGCAAAATAGCAATTTATTTTTAAAGAATACAACTAAACCAGTTATTAAAGGATCTTTGGTAACAAGCTTGTGTAAACATAATAAAATGTACCTGAAAACAGATATGCAACACCAAGCTACCATACAATTATTTAAAGTGTGTAAAAACACATGGTATATATTTAAAATTAATCAAACTGTTAGCACTAGACACTCTCAACTTTCCAAATGCAAATTGCGATTAGTGTCCTAAATTGGTGAGTAGAAAAGACTTTCATTAACCACACCAGTGGTGGGTAACTATATAACTATACTGAATTATTGCTGAGTTTATTTTCATATTGTTTTGCCTTCTTTTCCCCTACCTATTGCCTTATTTTGATCTGCATGTGTACCTTGTTGTACAGAAGTAACCATCATGATGAATTTGCTATTTAACTCAATGGAAGCTCACACATGCAGGATGTTAAATATTGTAACTGTTATGTATCAACCAGTATTTCATTTACATTTTCAAGCCACACTATTGAACAGCTATTTGGTATTGTCTGTTTCATCGGCTGATAATTTTGGCACATTTCATTCTTATTGGAAGAGCTCCAATCATGAATTGAGAATGACTTGTATTAATACTTTGTTTTGCATTTTGCTTGCTCAGAAGTGCCATGGATTCACTGAGTTGCAAGATGATGAAAAAAATGTTGCAAAAGTTTCAACATTTTCAGTCCATGACACTATATACAATTCAGGTACTATCATATATGATCAATAAATGTATGTTAACTTTCATAGGTAATGGAATGTATTTGTGACTAATTGAAATTAGGACAAATTAGACACATGGCTGATATCAGGAAGGCAACAAACTATTTTTTTAGTTAGTTTTGACTTTCATTTTTTATGCTGTATGTCATTTGCAAAGGCATACTTGTATTTTCATTGATAAAGACATGTTTTTAAATGATGTAGTTTCATATTTTGGGTCATTTGCTGTAGATGATAAATTTAATTGTTGTCCAAAATATTGCTAATGAGTTTGTTAATTGTTTTATGTTGGTTTTCTTTATGTATCAGTTTTATTATATACGATTCTCAGAGCAAGTTATCTAAATATTGATCAGTAAAAAGGACTAATAATTCAAAAAATATATTGTTTATAATTATGTTTTAAAGGAGACATATTTTGTGAAATATTTGCTAACACCAATGTAATGTCATGCTCAGTTAATTTGTTAGCATTAAATTATTATATTTTGTGGTTTTATTAGTTATTACTATATACAAACACAATTAAAAACGAGTATTTCTGTTTGTAATATAATGTTTGTACCACAGTTTATTTCAAATGAACTTACATTTGGAAACAAAAAATATAAACAAAATATTGAAGCTCAATTAAAAATTGGTACAAAAGCAAGTATTGTATGTTAATAAATTTCAGGGAAAATATAGAGTCTCATGAAGCAGAAGCAATACAACAGGCTCGTGAAAGTATTCGTTTAGCAGAGAATGCTGTTATGGAAAAAGATGAAGCAGTGTTTCGTGAACATCAGGCTGTCAAGGAGGCTCAGCGTCTGCAGACATCCATAAATCATTTGATGGAAATGGCAGCAGTTCGAACAAAGCAGGAGGTAACTATGTTTATATGTAATGAGATTTTGCATGACTAAGTGATTAAACAAAATGACTTATGTGCTTATTTCAAATATGCAATTCTTAAAACTTTCACATGAACATTGTCTACATACTCAATGTATATGATATTGATTAATTTTATAATATTAATAAATTTATACCAAAGGGCATAGAAAAACCTTTCAGTATGCTAGCCTAAATCCTCTATATGTTTTGCACATTACTAAATTAATCAGATTTTTTTGTGTGTATATCTGCAACTAACTTCAGAAATGCACAGAGAATTTGAATTTGATTTTTATGATATGTAGGAGATTATGCTTGTAATACATGATTCAGTAAAAAGTTGTTTACAAATTTTTGGATTTTTTTTCTAATTATAAGTTTTGCTTCATTATACTATAGGTTGAAAATATCAAGAAAAAATGCAATGAAAACCTGAAAAAACTGACAGAAGAAATACAAGCTTTAGAACAGGTTAGAAATAGGGTGTTTCACGAAGTAAATGTTTTAACATTAGGATTTGTCACAAAAATATTGCCTGTTCATTTCAAAATTTTAAATATTATGTTTTTACTAGAAATGATAGCTGATGTTTACTAGGATTAAAATCCTGTAAGCACTGTTATGGCACAATTTTTTTACTTCACAACTAATGTGTAGATGATGGGGACACTTCATACCATCAAACTATTTATGTGTGAGCTTTAGCTTTATGTGAAAACAGCCACCCACTCCCATGACTTATGCTTCTTTATCTTATTAATTTTGTTTGCTGTTTTTGTTCAGTATTTCATTACCGTTTCAATTTTTAATTTCGTTCTTAAATTATACACTGACTTTTCCTGCAAGGGTTTTCTTTTGTTTGAAAGAATGTTTGAATTAAGGTAGCTTATCTGACATAATATTTTATTACAAAATAAACATCATCCTTTTTCATTTTTTGGGGGCCCAGAATGGCCAGGTAGTTAGGGCGTTTGACTCGCAATCTGAGGGTCACGGGTTTGATTCCCCATCCCACCAAATATGCTCAACCTTTCAGCCATGTGGATGTTATAATGTGATGGTCAATCCCACTATTCATTTGTAAAAGAGTAGACCAAGAATTGGCAGTGGGTGGTGATGACTAGCTGCATTCCCACTAGTCTCACACTGGTAAATTAGGAACGGCTAGTGCAGATCGCCCTCGTGTAGCTTTGTGCGAAATTCAAAAACAAACAAACATTTTTGGGGGCCTTTGTTAGATATCCACAGATGTTTGTTTTTTTTTACATGTGTCAAAGAAACAATATTATTATTAGCATAAAATTAACTTTTTTTGTAATTTTTATGAATGTAATTATAATGATACACTCATTGAATGTTTCAAATATAAAGGTATTTTATCTCAAATACGTCGTACTGTATGTTAATGATCTGATTAGTGTAATGGTAAAAAATGTTAAAAACTTAATGCTTGGATCAATGCTATTTTTTGTAATGAGAGGATTAAGATTCAATAAAATTGCAGAATTTTTTTAATGTTATATAGGAAGTTTAAAGTAAATTATAAATTAATGATTATATATATTCATACTTTATATAACTGTAGAACATATTTAACAATCATAATAAGACTTTTTTTTTTAATCCTTTCATAATTTTTTCACCCTGGCCATTGTCTATTCAACCACACATTATTTTGGTACAACGCATATTTCTATTTCTTGACTTAATATGTGGTTTTTTTTATATTCATATGTGTCCTCACAGTAATAGTTACAGCAAGAATAAAAAAATTAAGCTTTTTTATTACCTTTTGGAATGCTACTTAAGAGAAAATTTTATTTCTCCTAGTTAAAATACAAAATGTATATCACAGTTGCATGTACAAACTGCCTGAGTATGGGTTGTTATTTATGCAGTTTTTTTCTATACTCAGGTTCTGTATACTGTACCATACACTGCACCTGTAATTTGAACATTTTCATAAGAAGAAGATGTCTTATGAAAAATGTAGATGTATATCATGTTTGAAAATGTTACCCATACAACATTTGTTTTGGTCTAACCTATTTTACTAACATGTCATATTGATATAACATGTATAGTTGGGATGTTAAATGCTTATCCTGCAAAACGTTTTTTGGATCACCCCTCACAAAATGTCTTAATCACCTTTAACTAGTTTAATGAATTACTAAAATTTAAGCTAGGAATTTTCAATACTAATTTCTTCTTGCCAACAAATAGGCTATCAAAAATTATACTTTTTTGAACTGTCACTTATATGTACACATGCAACATGACCATGTAACAAATTGACTTCCTGCATATTGCTAGGAACTTTTCATCTTTACCTGTTATTACTTTGTCCCATTACATTTTGCTAGATGTTCTTTGTATAGCTTAGGTGAAACAGAAATAAACTTTTTTTCAAGTTACTAGCTTTTATTTGGTCTGTTAGTTAAATATTACCTCATGTGTAAGAAACAAGTACCATTCCTAGGTTTGACATTATCCTTCTCTATTCTAACAAGTTTTATGTCATCAACAACAGTTTTGAAAATATCTTTATATAACATAATATTTTGGGACAACATGGGATCTATTTGTCCATCTTGGCAAAAACCGAAGAAAAAGTAAAATTCAATAACCCAGCCATCTCATAATCATCAGATACTAGCCTTTCTTTATCATCCCTCAAAAGTCCTATCCCTATCCTAACATTTTGTTTCCCCTTAATGTATTTAAAGAAATCTTTCTTACTGTTAATTTTTACATTTTCAGTCAACCTTTTCTCATACATCCTGTTTGATGTCCTAATTTCCTGTTTCACCAACTTTCTTGATCTTCTATAATCCTCTAAGTCTCCTGTCATATCAGTCAACTTAAATTTCTTAAATTTATGATGCTTTTCCTTAATTTTAGTTATTAAACATTTTGTGAGCCAACCTGGTTTTTTACTTGTAGCTACCATTTTCTTTCTATTAGGAATATGTTTACATTGAATATTTAAAAATTTGTCTTTAAAAATTTTCCACATCTGATCAGTGTCTCCAAATAACTCAATTGCCCATTTCACAACAGATAACTCTTGTTGCATCCCTTCAGAATTTGCTTTTTTGAAATTTGTAACTAAAATATCATTATTCCTTATCTCCATATGCAGCAAAACATTGAACCTAATAGAGCAATGATCACTTGCACCCAGATGTTCCCCAGTTTCCACCCTCTCAATCATTTCTGTGTTTGAAGTTAACAATAAGTCTAAAATAGCATTGTTTCTAGTTGGTTCCTGAACAGTTTCCAAAAACCTTTCTCTCTCATGGTTTGATTCTAGAATTTCCCAATCTATATGCCTGAAATTCAAATCACCCATAATTATGACTTCATTAACAGCTGAAATCTTAATCTCATTGTAAAGTTTCTCACTAATTTCACCAGTATCATTTGGTGGTCTGTAACAAATTCCCACTAAAAGCCTTTTGCCTTTATATCCACTAACAGAAACCCAAATGGATTCAGTCTCTTTGCTATTATCTTTGATATCCTCAACTTCAAGAGGATATAACTCACATTTTACATATAAAGCCAATCCTCCTCCCCTCTTTAATACTCTATCCCTATTAAAAAGCCTGTAACCCTGTATTTCCAAAAAAAATTCTGTCATCAAAATCATTTATGTTTAACAATGTTTCAGTTATTCCCATTATATCAAAATCCTCCAAATCTACCAGTGCACTTAAGTCATCTGTTTTATTTCTTATACTTCTAGCATTACAATAGTAACAATTAAGCCTACCCTTAATATTACTTCTATACTCATTTCCTATGCTAAACTTCTCTCTGCCTCTTATTCTTTTTGCATTCAGTTTTTCCTGGGCCTCACCACTGTCTAGTCCTAGTTTTAAACTGCCCTTACAGCTGAGTTAATAGCCTTAGTAAACAAACTCTACTTAAATGTAAACCATCCATTACAAAAACTCCCTTCTCCCACTGAACTGATCCTACAAGTCCAAACAGCCAATCTGCTCATCCTTACATACTAACCTAAGCCTAGCATTTAGCTCTAATGACCTACTTATAACTTCATCCTCACAGTTAACTCTGGGCAGTATGTGTGTGTGTGTATATATATATGTACTAGCTGAGTTACCCGGTTTTGCACGGTGAAAATTTAGATTTGAAATGTATAGATAAGTATTTTTTTCAGCAAATTATTCAGTAAGTAGACAAAAGCTGTGATGCGAAAAATAAAAAACGCATTTCATCAAACAAAGCTTTATTTGAAATTAGATCGTGTTTGAGCTTGTCTTGCTCTTTGTGACTAAAGTCATACATCATGTTGCTTTTCTGTTTCTTGCCCTCTGTAAGTTATTCGTCTTAATTTTTGTG